AAAAAAAAAAAAGCATCAATCATTGTAACAACCCACACTTCTCCCCATCCACAACCAGGAGACCCATAGCCACTGCTGGAAAGAAGGAACTTTCCTTGCGGGTGCGACATACTATCTCTGAAGAAGCTATGTTGACGGGACGGGTGGGCATCTCTTACGTGCTCACAGGGAAGGATTAACTACCCATCCATGGTTCCTTTTCTTTTTTTGTTTCTTTTTTTTTCTTTTTGACCGCCGGTCCATGCTGTCAATGTAACTTTTATGAAAACAATCAAGCACAATAGCTCCCCCAGCAAGCTCCTGAATTTTCGGCGAGTTCTCCAAAACTCCCACTTCAGGGAGATTACCCCGCTTCTTGTTCAGCCGGAAGGCAAGCAGAAGACACCCCAAAACCCCTACCCATGCCATGTGGTATACTAGCCTGCCAATTACCCTGGGAATGCTGAAAGGCCCCACTCCCCTCCCCAATCCCAATTCTAAAAGTAGTGTCATCAACATGACTCAATGAGAAAGCACCTCCACCTACCGTTTCACACCTAATATAGCCCATGCATATCGCCAGGCCATCCACAACCAGCCCCCTAAGAGTCCCCCGTGGAACGACAGCAACTCCCTAGTAATCCCTGCAGACATCATGGCCTTAAACCACCAGTGCTTGGCCCATATGTCGGCCACGGGACGTTGTCATTAACACCCCCCGGGGCGTTGTCGTTAACACCCCGCAAGTTTCGGAGACTCGGGGTACGGGACCTGAAAGGCTGACGCCGCCAGCCAAAACATTTTATTTTTTTTTGTCTCGCAGGCAGGTCGGCGCGAAATGGCGCGCAGGGCATATTCAGGCTCCGCATCGATAACTGGGCCAAGTACTGGTGGTTTAAACCACCAGTACACCCAGGCCTGGAGGCGATGCACTGCGTGCCAAGCTTTTCGGAACCGCCAGCGGCACACTTGTTTTCTTTCTTGGCTGCCGCCGCCAGCCATTGTGGTCCCGCAGCCCTGAGCCCCAGAAGCTCGGAGTTAGCGACTCGCGATTTTCTGCAAGGC